ATAATTAGTAAGTGCACAATGACGGACGACGTGACGACGGCCCTGCCGGGCTCGGAGACGGCGGTGTACGCGCGGCGGTGGGCCATGCTCGCCATGTTCGTGACGCTCTCCATGACGAGCGCCTTCCAGTGGATCGAGTACTCCATCATCTCGGACGCCATCATGGCGTACTACAACGTGCCGGCCTTCTGGGTGGACTGGACCTCCATGATCTACATGGTCACCTACATCCCGCTCATCCTGCCCGGCTCCTGGCTGCTCGACAAGAAGGTAAGGGTGTGAGAAACGACCCTGCTCGATACATGAGAAGAACAAACCGCTTACCTCTGCGGACTGAAAACAAAACCGCTTACTTCTGCAACCCTTAAACAAAACCGCTCACCTCTGGGACACGAAAACAAAACCGCTTAAATGACTTTTGTACACAGTTTGAGTTCCGGATATCAAAATGATCACTGAAAAATTTCTCTTTCGAATGATTCCAAACCCATGTCTCAGAATGTGTAAGAAAGTCATTTAAGCTGTTTTGTTTTCGTGTCCCAGAGTTAGCGGTTTCGTTTTAGGGTTGCAGAGGGAAGCGGTTTTGTTTTCAGTCGGCTGAGGTAAGCAGTTGTTCTTCTCGGGTATCGTGCTGATGCTGCTGCTGAAGCTACGTTTTAAGGGGCACTTTAAATAAAAACTGCTTGTTTGGCGTTTTGAAAAACTACACCCATGAAATGCATGAAATTAGAAAAATTATCAGGTAAATCATGAATTAAAAAAAAGTCACCGTTTCCACGAGGAACGTGGGGTGGTGCGGAAAAGGCCCTGCTCGGTGCACGGACGCGCGTGTGTCGGGAAAGCCCCCTCGCGGCTCGGACGGCGGCGCCACCTGCTCCCGGGCGCCACTTATTCTCAATAGAACAGCCGGGCGTTTCCAAGTAAATCACTCGCCGTTGCCCCCCCCCCCCCCCCCCCTCTAACCTCCGGGCCTGGTGCGCGTTACGGAAGGCAGCGACACAGTCACCTCGTGTCCTTGTGCGCGCAAGGGGGCCCCCGAGGATCGTGCTCACCCCCTGCCCTGTCCCCCATTCCTCCTCGCCCGCTTCCTCTACATCCAACTGCTCAAGGTAGCTCCCTCCCCCTCCCCCGCAGAGCCGCTTTGTCGTCCGATATCACTGCTCCTGAGCCCTCACCGCCACGCCACCACCGCCCCTCAGGCGTTTAACTCCCCCCCCCTCTCCCCTCTCCTCCCACTACTCTGCACCTGCCGCCTCCCCTCCCCGCTCTCATCCTGGCTCTCCTTGTGTTCCGCTACACCCGCCGAGAAGATGAGGCAAGGACTTCGACAGTATCGGGCCGGACTGCACTTGCTGCCAATTTACTTCCTTCCTCTTTGTCTCCCTGCGTACTTCCTTCCGGTCCGCTTCTCGCGCGACCTCTCCGCCTGCATACCCCCCCCCCCCCCTTATTTCTGTCTACTACATTTCTCTTTCCCGTTTTTTTTCTCTGCCGTCATTTTATTACCTTTTTTCCGGCATGCATTTCTCTCCGTGTTCGCGACCATTGAAATTCAATGAGCTCGTCGTCTCTCGGTGGCGGACCAGGACCCTCTCTGGTTCCCCGTTCGCGCGATGTTTTAAAAATCTTCAATTCGTCTCTCGATGGCTGACGACGGTGGCCTTCTCATATACGACCCGTCGATCGTTAGACAAACACTTGGGAGTGTAATAAAATCTGGTACAAAGCATGGACCGTAAAAGCAATAAAGAATAATTCTTTCATGCCAGGGGTAGTAATAGGAAAGGAAAGCGGGGAAGAGACATAATGCTGGAGAAAACCAAAGGGCGGTTCCGCGCGCTTTCCCTCCGTCGCCCCGCACCTTTCTTTTTTATTTTTCAATCAAACGGACATGGTACGGTGGATTAAGAGGGAGAATTAGTCGTCCTGTGCGACGAGGCCCGTACGGGGCACAGCGGCGAGGGGGAGGAGGAAGGGGGGTGGGAACGCATTAGCCGGCTGCTGCAGCGCCAGGCCGGCCCCGGGGGCGGGCGGTGTGTACGTACGGCCCTCGTCCGCACGCCCAGTTGATATATAAAACGCCTGGGCTTTGGCCGCGGACCAAACGGCTATTTTTCATGGACTTCGGCAGGCGGAGGTCGGGCCGGGCCGCCCTTGTTCCTGCGCCCTCGTCCTTTTTGCGCCGTGATTACGGCCCTTCC